CTGTTAAGCTGGGCTCACCGTTCTGCTGTGAGGCAAATATCACAGTAGCCACTGACTCTCAGAAATTTGTATATGTATTATGTTGTATATTTGGGTCTGCAAGACATAGAGTTACCTTAGTACCTTTCCAAGTACCTAACATTGGAGTAGGAAACTCTCCAATCTTGACTCTCCAATATCTCTAAAGGAAAGACCTACACTATTAAATTAATCTTTCTGTCTTCCTTTTGTTAACTGCCTTTTTTTTATCATAATGATCATAATGATATTGCTTCCTGTAGTGCAATAATGTACTAATAATGCCTCAGTGGGTGTAGAAAAAAAGATTTGATTCAAAACTGGTTTTATGCAAAGGAATTATAAATGATCAGTACATATTGAGGCTCATGTAGCAGTTGTTTGCATCAACTTTAAAGGCTTAAAGGATAAGTTCACCTTTGGAACATATTTACACGTTTCACCCGTTTTTAGGATGGAACATGTGTGAGTACTTACAAGTCCTGACAGCCTTAGCAGCTGTCAGCTTGTAGTTTTCAATGAACTACCATGGCGCGGAGGAACACTGTGGTAGTTCATGGAAGCTTCCTGCCAGTATACCTGCTTGCTTATACATCCTGTACGGCAAGCAGATATTCTGACATGTCTGCAGGAGACCTGCATGGCAACAGCATTTTACTGATCACTGGTGCAATGCTTTCCAGGCTCCTTTGGACAAAAATAATAAATGCACATTTTTTTACCTACCTTTTTTTTGTCAAAAAGGTGAACTTATCCTTTAAAGCAATTTTGTAAAGGGTTTTGGTTTTTTTTGGGGGGGATAAAAAATAATAAACATGTTATACTTATGTACCTGCTCTGTGCAATGTTATTGCACTGAGTGGCCCGAGCATTCCTCGCCCCTGGTCAATACTCCAGGCTGTAGTTAGATACAAGATATTCTTCATCAGTGGCCCCTCAAAATTTGGCCTGTGGGCCTATACAACCACAACAGTGTTTGATCACTGTTCCTCTTTTTGACACCATTGATGGGGCACTATTGCTCCCAATGACACCAACAATTGAGCATTATTTTTACCTCTGACTTTGATGAGATATTATTTTGATGACACATTTTTCCCACTGACACCAAAGATGAACACAATTCCTGCCACTGACCAAAGATGGTCACTGTTCTGCAACTGACACCAAAAATGGTCTCAATAACTCCCCTTGGCACCAAGGACTACATCAACAATGGGGAACTATTCTTTTCACTGTCACCAAAGATGAGCACAATTCCTCCCATTGACCGGGTGCTATTTCTCCCATTGACACCAAAGATGGGGAAGTATTCCCTTCACCGACACTAAATAATGGCCACAGTTCCTCCTATTGCCATCATTAATGGGGCACTATTTCTCCCACTGACACCAACAATGGGGTGTTATTCCTGTTGACACCAATGATGAGGCACTCTACCTCCCACTGACACCATAGATGGGACTCACTATCTGTTCATTGACACCAGCAGTGGGGCACTATGGCTTCAACTGACTTCAGTGATGGGGTGCTATTACCCTCACTGAAACCAATGATGGGGCACAATTCCTTCCATTGACACCAATGGTGGGGCACAATTCCTGTCACTGACACCAATGATGGGGCACAACTCCTTCCATTGACACCAATTCAATTCCAGCCTCTGGCTATCAATCCAGAGGGTTTTTTTTTTTTGTTTGTTTTTATTCTTTATTTTTTTAAATTTAACTCCCACTACTAAGTTTACTCCCTAAACAACCCCCCCCCCCCCCAGGTCTAAAGTTAACAGGCTCTTTGTTTAGAAATCTGGTGTAGGAGTTCCAGGGTTTCTTTGAATATTTTGATCAGGCTAATCTTAAATAGAAATAGATTTGAACATAGAAATAAAATATGTTTAACTTTTAGTCCATTATAGTTTACCAGTTTTCTTGGCATTCCTGTTTGTGTGCCTAATTTTTCTTATCTGTCATCCTTGTGATCATGCAACTTTCACTGTTGTGGAGACTGTAGCTTGTATGCTAAATTAACCCTTATGTTGCCAGGCCTTGCTGTCCACTTTTAAACGCGGATGGCTAGACCATTTTTACAGTTTTTCTATTATTTTGGTTTTTGTTTGTTTTTATTTTAGTCCATTACAGCTCTCAGAGTTTGTAAAAGACACCCCCCCCCCCCCAAAAAAAAAAAACCCAAAAAACAAACTATACAGTTTCTGAAAGCATAGGATCAGTAGAATAAAAGTGCTGCTGATTTTTTTTTTTTTTTTTTTAGGCTCCATGATATTTGGCCAAATGTTTATGAAAACGGTACTTTCACAAAAAAATATACTAAAATTATTGACAGACAAACACACCATAATTTACAAAATTCCTGCTAAATTTCTACTAAATATAAAAGCTAAAACTGTATTGAGTTAATAAATATATGTCTATTTTATATTTGCGCCTTTTTGCAAAATGTTGACAATTGAAGGTATGCAAAACTGTCAACAAGCAACTTACTCTACAAATCTGAAGGTCATCATTTTTTACTTAGTTTTTTCAGTTTGTGAGAGACCCCCCCCCCCCCCCCCCAAATCATACATTTTCTGAAAGCAAAGGCCCGCTAGAATAAAAATGTGGTACTGATTATTTTTTTTTAGGTCCCGTGATATTTGCGCAAATGCTTATCAAAATATTTTCACTAAATTTAAACTAAAATCATTGTTAGCACACACAAACACAAAATATCTTACAAAATTCCTGCTAAATTTCTACTAAGGCCTCATTTACATGGGACGTGCTAAAGTGTATGGAGATGAACAGGTGTTCCGTGCATCCCTGTGCAGGCAGTCTTATTGATGTCAGTTGGGATGAAGCTGCTGCACGGACACAGCAGCTGCTCCCAATTTGACATTCATGTGGGTGTACTGCCCTGAATTTACACAGTGCAAGTTCGGGGACTCACACCCACATGGATATCAAATGGGGAGTACTGCCTGTATCCATGCAGCCGCTGCATCCCAATTGATATCCGTGGACTGCCTGCACAAGGATTCACAAAACACCTATGCAGGTAAATAAAAAGGGGGGTTATGCTGTAGTATGCCCAGTGTGAACAAGGCTGTACTAGTTTTTTGTTTTTTGCTTTGGTGAGATATCAGGGGTCTAAACAGACCCCTAACTTCTCACTTTTGAGACAGAGAAAGAGTCTGAGGACAGACAATTCAGTCCCTTTCTCTGCAGCCCCAGGTGCACGGACTGAATTAACAGGAGGCGCTCTGTACAGAAGCTTTCCTGTTCATTCACAAACCGAATAATAAGTAATATATATTATACTTCAGTGATGAATGAGCACAGCCTTGATCAGTAGTGAACACTCACTGTGTTCATTTAGGAAAGGAAGGGGCTAGTAAACCTAAAATGTTTACCAATATCTCCCCAAGCGCAATTCTGACATTGATCATCCGCCATGTACCTCAGCAGCAGCTGACAGCCAAGGGAAAGGGGTAGTGCGGAAGGGGTGCCAGGGGAAAGGATGGCTTGGAGTGCCAGGAGCAGGTAGGGTCAGCTGCTAATTACAGCTTTTCTATTATTTAGCTGACTCTGCTGAACAGTTCTACTATAAATTCACGGTCATTGAAGTGATCATGAGCTACCAGCCGATGTACGGCGTGCTGACCTGGTTAGCTGGAATTGGTTCTGGAGGCCTGTATACTTTATTCACATTGCAGTGAAGGGGTAAAAGCTGTGCTTAAAGCAGAAATCTACCCATAACAACTTAATAAAAAATAATGTTCTTTAGCAAGGAATGTGCATTCCACATTAATATTTATTCTGCCAAAAATGGTGTATGCTGTAAATTCTGCACGACGACTAGAAAAAGAGAGCAACTGAGCATGTGCAGAGCAGAGTGAGACAGTGTATTACTGGATTTTAAACAGTATAGACACTTATGTTTAATCGCTTACATAGCTATACCTGCAAAAGGGGCCAGCCTGAAGTATAGTAGCACTTAATTTTTCTGACTAAAGTTCCACTGTAGCCTCCCTGGCGGTATTCCCGAGTGTAGCTCGGGGTAAAGTTTCAGTACCACAAGCGGTAACCCCGAGCTACACTTGGGCTTACCATGCGGCGCTGCTCCACGATCCCTCGGTCATTTACCTTGTCCTGCACTCCCGCGATGTCCCTGCTGCAGTGTCCCCGGCAATGTAATCCGGTGGATGCCGGTATCTGTCATCTGGGTTCCGCCCTCTGCGAGCGTCGGGACGTACGGGAGACGGAACGGCGGGAAATTTGAAAATGACAAAAAGTGACATTCACAAAATACACTAAAATCACATAGTAAAACATTACTGTACCAAACCATGTCACATACATTTTGTCCCTAGTGCTTTGTCCTGTGCCCTGCCTGCATTTTTACTGTTCTTTCTACCTGGAAACTGAGAAACGTCCATGGCGTCCAAAAAGCGTCCCTTTAGGTCAAAAGCGGTTTTAGACCAGCTAGAGAACAGCGATAGTAAATTAGAACTACTTGCAGAATTGTGTGATAATGATTTGTGGGGAAATTCCTCATCAGGCACTGAAAACGATTTTGCGACTTTGCTCAGTGATGTGCGAACTTGGCGCTATATTTCAAATTTCAGTGTTTTTGGTTTGATTATTTTATTGAATTAAATGTATTATTGTATTTTTTTGATGATTATTAAATTATAATTTATGATTTCGTGTTTCAAATTTTATCATACCCGGGATGTTTACTAGACTCTTGTTCGGACAGATTTCAGTGAGTTATTCCTAAGAATTACAGGCCTACAATATAAAAAGCCAAATTTCCATGCAAAATAATGGTACCGCTTTCAGCACCAAAAATCTGAAATAATCATACCGTCAGGGAGGTTAATAGGACTGATTCAGTGTTAACATACTCACCCATGAAAAGCATATTGATGAGTTTGCATTTACCGGACATTGTGGATAAGCCTTTGATCTGCTTATGTTTTGCAGGCCTTTCCGTTTCAAGTGTACCTGGGGCTCTTGGCCCTCTTGCTCTTACCACTTCCGCTATCACTGGTCGTATGGCAATTCCAGGGATGACTGCCATTCCTGGACATTCAGTTCTCTTAGTCAGCAATCTAAATCCTGATGTAAGCTTTTTTTTTTTTTTTTTTTTCTCCACACATGTAGTCTCCTCATACGTTTGCTTGCATCTATGGACGACATAGTTCTTCATAATATAAAATATTTGTTCATATGATGCTGTGTACTCATATTTTTTTTTTTTTACACCAGAAACCTCTTATATGGTTTATTACTTTGGCTATTTATGTTTATATTTATTTCATGTTACTGTATTTTCATGGTCTGTTTAATTTTTGTGCAATTATTTCCACAGCTTATTACACCTCATGCACTCTTCATCTTGTTTGGTAAGTAAATTGATTTGTTTGTTTTTGCTAAAACTATGCATGCAAATGTCAGACTGATATCCATGTCCAATATACTAGCTGCCCAACAGAATTTTAGGTTGGTTTGGAACCTTTAAGCCCTGTTCACATCTGAGCAATTTGAAGTTGTGTGCAGAATCAGCATGATTCTGCCAGCACTTCCAAATCACGCTAAGATCACAAAACACGCAATGCACGTTTTGGTGCAAATCATTCTTAACCACTTCAATATCATTTTTTTTTTTTGCACAAATAGATCTTTCTTTTAGTGGTAGCTAATCACCACTGATTTTTTTTTTTTATTTTTTGCTAAATAAAACAAAAAACACTTGAAATTTTTGAAAAAAACGCACTTTTCTTTGTATCTGTTATAAAAGTTTGCAAATAAAATTTCTTCATAAATTTAGGTCAAAATGTATTCTGCTACATTTCTTTGGTGAAAATAATAATTGAATTTGTATTTTTTTTTTCCTTCAAATGTTTCTATTTTTTTTAAATTTATTATTACTATTTTATTTTTCAGCACACTGTGACAAAAGCAATACAATGTTACCATAGTAACATTGAACTATTCTGAGCAAGTGCACAGGATTTTTTTTAACACATTATGATTGCTAATACCAATGTATTTCATTGATATTTGCAATAATTACTGAATGAAACAGATTCATTCAGTCTTTTGTTGTGATTGGGCAAAGCTGATCACATGATAGAGATGGGCTGTGATTGGCCTTGTCTGTATCATGTGACTGCCTTGACCAGTCACAGCTAACAACATAATTGTATACAATGGATGGCATGACAGGAAGCCATCCATTGTATACAATTGACATGTGATCTGCTGTGATTAGTCACAGCGGTCACATGACACTGGCAATGGGCTGGTGTAGTGATATGTCATTGGCTGTGTCCCGTGGACACAGCCAGTGACAGATTGTGCCGCTGTGCAGTCCCGCGGCCGCTTGAGCGGCTCATTTTGACAGGACGCCATAGGACACCCAGTCACATCGGCGAGTGTGTCGCCCGGCCATCAGTCTGCTATAGGGCGGGCAGGAAGGTGTTAATTGTACCTCAAATGAGCTGCAACTTTGCCCTGATTGTCATGCAACAAAATGTGTGAAAAAGCAGTGCAAAACATGCATTAAAAATGCGCCTAGCTCAGTGGCAAAATTTAATACATGAGCTTCTTTGACTTGGCAAACCCACATAGGGCAGCCCATGCAAGTTAGTGGAGTTTTGCTTCCTGCCCCCTCCTTGTTTTTTCACCTCCAATCATCCTGTGTCATTGCATAGGTTAGCAGATCTCCATTGAGACTACTGGGGTGTTCTGAAACAAGGTTCCAGGTAAAATGTTTCAGGTTCCTGAGGCAAAATGTTTTCAGGGTTTTTGTTTCAAACTTGTTTACCATTCCCAAATACAAAAGAGACAAGAGACCTCCAGCTCTGCAAGGAGAGAGTCTAAACTGGCAACCCTATCCTGCAAGGAACCCTTTCTGGATGTGTACTGGGACACGATTGTGTTGAGGCACAGGAATTCCTCCGATCCAAGGTAGTTTCTACCTTTCGTCTTAACCAGGACATCATTTTTCCATCCCTCTGTCTGGCTTGATTTCACTAAAAGGAAATTTCCAGACATTTTCTGGATGTGGTTCAGGCTGTGAGTCTTTCAGCCACTGCTTCTCTCAGAAAAACTGATTAGCTTTTTTTGTCATTCTGGATGATTTGCATAAGAGTACTTTGGCTTCCCTTTCCACCATCTTTATGGTGTAAATGTGTTCTCTATTCTCAGACCAAGCTTATGATCTCAAGTACCAGGTTCCACCCTTTCCTGTTAAGATGCACTCTGCTTGATTTATTTGGTGTCCTGGGGTTTTTTGCATCAATTGACTTTTTCCAAGATTTGGGAAAACCGCCTGGTCATCTGTTTACACTTTCTCCAAGTTCTACCAGATGGATATTGAGGCCTCATTTGATGCCAACTTTGGGCATAAGGTCCTTCAAGTAGCTTTTTGAGCTGCAGGCAGTCCGCAGTTTTCAGTTTTTCTTGTTCCTGCTAACATTTGTTTACTGTGTTGCCCACCCATCAGTGGACTGCTTTTGGACATCCTTAAGATGAAAGGCTTGCTCTCAAAAGACAAGAAAGAAAATAGGACTTTTGTACTTACCATAATCCTTTTTTGCCATTCATTGAGGCCACAGTTCTCACCCCTATGTATTTGTGTTACATACTCTAGGTTAGGGGTCCTCAAACTTTTTAAACAGGGGGGCCAGTTCACAGACCTTCACACAGTTGGGGGACCAGACTATAGTTTGAAAATGTGAACAAATTCCTATGCACACCGCACATATTTCATTTGTAGTGCAAAAAAACAGGCCAAAACAATACAATATTTAAAGTGCACTGGACACTGCAATGCATTGTACATGCTAAAGCACTTGGCACCACCATGCACTGTGCACTAACTCACTGGACACCGCCATGCACTGTACTCTGTAGCGCACTGGACACCGCCATGCACTTTACTCTGTAGCGCACTGGACACCGCCATGCACTTTACTCTGTAGCGCACTGGACACCGCCATGCACTGTACTCTGTAGCGCACTGGACACCGCCATGCACTGTACTCTGTAGCGCACTGGACACCGCCATGCACTGTACTCTGTAGCGCACTGGACACCGCCATGCACTGTACTCTGTAACGCACTGGACACCGCCTTGCACTGTACGCTGTCACACTGGACACCGCAATGCACTACACTGTAACGCACTGGACACCAAAATGCACTGTGCCTGGTGTGTTCTCCTCTCCTCGTTCTCCTCTGACTGTAGCAGGTGAAATCAGAGGCTTCCAGGCTGCCGCTGTCTGGGTCCTCGAGGCTGAGGAGCCAGTGAGCAGCCTAGCTATTTCCGGTCCGTTTTTTTTGGTTTTGGTTTTTATTCATGCTGGGTTATCCAGGGCTGGCCTAAATTTTTTTTTTTTTTTTTTTTTTTTGTGCTGTTGTTCTTTTTTAATGCCAGTGTCCAATCGTCCTGTAGGGTGCAGCATACCTGAAGTTAAAAACTGTGTCCTCCAATGGACTTCAAGAATGTACAAATGTATAACGTCTGTGGACTCACAGCAACAATTGTAGCCAAAGATGGTTCTAAATATTAAGTGTTTCTAAAGTCTAAATGTTTTTTTAGCTTAATGCATTCTCTGCAGTAAGGTTAAAAAAACAAAAAACTCCCCACTACTGTGTATGTCTATGGATGCACACAACCTGAATTGGTAGCGGACCAGCACGGGTCTTAGCCATGCGTTTGCTAGGAGGGCACCCGGAGGAAAGGCCAACAGAGAGCGGCAGCGGGGGACCAACAAAGAGGAAGTAAGGGACCGATATTTGCAATATCATTGCACAGAACAGGTAAGTATAACACTTTTTTTTTATTATTTTAAAGCAAAAACTTTAACTTGTGGATGAACATTTCTGTAACAAATTACTGGTTTTTTTTTTTGTTTTGTTTTTTTCATTGTCTATGCTAAATGTGAAAAAGTCCAAGGATTGTGGAGGTAATTAATAATTTCACTTTCCACTGAAGGAAGCTAGAGTCAGTGCAATTTATAGGCCTCTTTAAATGGGGTATATTTTGAAATTTTTTTACGCAAAGCTGTAAATTTATACTGATATTAAATGCAAAGTATATAAGTGAAATAAATTATTTTGGACTTATGCAGTGATGCACTATTTCTGTAACCCATAATAAGCCTAAAAAACTTGTTGAGCAGTTTCCGTCTTTTTTTTCTTTCTAGGAGTCTATGGAGATGTCCACCGTGTAAAAATTCTGTTTAACAAAAAGGAAAATGCACTGGTGCAGATGGCGGATGCAAACCAAGCACAACTGGGTAAATATGTAGTCAAGAATTGTATATACTTTGTACATGACACTTCTTTTCCTCCTAATGCTGTGTCACAATTCAAAAAAGCATTTAGGACGATTCTTTTAATGCCTGAGTTCTGAGCAATGTTTTAAAATGGCATAGGGACAGTTGTTTGTCCCAATTTGCCCTTGTGTGCTGTGTTGAAACAGCATCCAGACTCGGAAGCTCCTGTGGGGGGCCCCTGCCGGCTTTAGCACTGGAACCAGCAGCCAGCTAAGATCTAGCGATAAGTCCAATAGCTGAAATGATCAAAAAACTTTCCAATTTTGCTACACAGGGCTCCATAGCAGCACCTATGACAGATCACTGTAAACACAATGCTTCTACATTGTGCTTACATTGAAAAGGATGTGATGATATGAGTGATGTTGCAGCTCTGTTCAGCCTCTCCCTGCAGCCAGTATATCACTACTATAGTGATCTATTGCTAGCTAATTGCAGCCAACAGTTGATTATTATTAGAAGTGATCTGTTGCTGCACAGCCACATGTGGGGCCTTGATCAGGTCTCTGCTGTCCAGATCCAAACTCCCTATGAAGAAGAAAAAAAAAAAGGTGTAAATAAAATCGTAAATATACTGCGTGCATAAATAATAAACAGTGGGGGTATTTTTCCTAACTGGAGCAAGCTGGTCATGGAAACCAATCGGCTTCAGCTTTTTCAGTTAAGCTTGGAAAATGCACAGCTGCTCCAGTTATAATAAATTCCCCTGTGTGTGTATTATCCGAACGCTCAGGGTGCTCATGCTGACCTGTGGCTCCTGCACTCAGCCAAACCTGTGAGAGCACTGAGTAGGGAGAGAAGACCACTAGCTGGGCATAGTGCTGGATTGATACAGGAGTCGGGTAAGTTTTTGGGGAGGGGTGTGTTACAGTAGGCGGCAAAAAGTTTTTACCTTAATGCAGGGAATACATTAAGGTAAATGGTTTCACTTTAAAATCACTTTAAGATGATGTTTAAAAACGTAATTAAGGATGGTTTCAAGTAATGCTTAAATGGGTTTTATAGGAGTATTGCTTGTCTGCCTAAACTTTTGCTTTAACCCCTTCTTGCCCACAATCTGTAGACTAATGCACTCTTGCACAGTGCCCTGTACTGAGGTTGGTATACTGTGCATGACTGCTAGCTGTCAAACCTAGTTGTCACTATTTGCTTCAGCCCCACTAAGGATCAGTAACGAGTTGAAGTGGTAGGCAATCAGTGATCATGGCATCATTTAGGAAAAAAAAATGCAACCACTGCATTCTCTAGATGGCAGTGTGCCTCTTTATTACTGTAATGGTACTGATACAGTTATAGTATTTAAACCAGAAAAAATAAGCTTTTTCTTGTTCGCATTTTTGACCACATGTCAACTTACATTAAAAACAAACAAACATATGCATACATTTCTATTTATGGTTTTGTTTTTGCTTTTATTTTACCAGCCATGAGCCATCTAAATGGGCAGAGGCTTCATGGAAGAGTACTACGAATTACTTTATCAAAGCATCAGTCTGTCCAACTTCCTCGCGAAGGACACGAAGACCAAGGCCTTACTAAGGACTACACCAGCAGCCCATTGCATCGCTTTAAGAAACCAGGCTCCAAGAACTTCCAAAATATCTTCCCTCCCTCTGCAACACTGCACCTGTCTAACATCCCGTATGTACAACAGAATCTTTGTGTTTGCTGAGTTTTCTCATAAAGTTGTGGGACAAATGCAATTATGAAATTACTATAGCAGAATTATCCCATTTTAACCACTAGCCTACTGGGAAAATCCTGACATTTCTCTCCTACATGTACAGTGCCTTGAGTATTCATACCCCTTGAAATTTTCCACATTTTGTCACGTTACAACCAAAAACGTAAATATATTTTATTGGGATTTTATGTGATAGACCAGGCGTTTCCAAACTGTGGCCCTTTGCTAGCCTTTATCTGGCCCTTGGGGCACTATTCCTCCCAAATATATGAAGCAGTATTCCTCCCACTGACACCAACAATGGGACACTATTTCTTCCACTGATAACACTTATGGGGTACTATTCCTCCCATTAATACAAACGATGGGGCACTACTTTTCCTCCTTCTGACTACCAACCCTGAGGCTATGTTTATTCTCACTAATGCTGGCCATGAAATATTTTCTACTCCCCCTGGCCACACTTTAACATCTGAAGGACCAGAAACCAGCCCTTTGTTTGAAAAGTTTGGAGACCCCTGTGATAGACCAACACAAAGTGGCACATAATTGTGAAGTGGGAGGAAAATGATAAATGGATTTCAACATTTTTTTTACAAACAAATCTGTGAAAAGTGTGGCGTGTATTTGTATTCAGCTCCTCTGAGTAAATACTTTGAAGAACCACCTTTGGCAATTACAGCTGCAAGTCTTTTTGGGTATGTCTCTACCAGCTTTGCACATCCAGAGTGTGAAATTTTTGCCCATTCTTCTTTGCAAAATAGCTCAAGCTCTGTCAGATTATATGAAGAGTATCTGTCTGTGAACAGCAATTTTCAAGTCTTGCCACAGATTCTCAATTGGATTTAGGTCTGGACTTTGACTGGGCCATTCTAACACATGAATATGCTTTGATCTAAACCATTCCACTGTACCTACGGTTAGGGTTGTTGTCCTGCTGGAAGGTGAACCTCCACCACAGTCTCAAGTCTTTTGCAGACTCTGACAGATTTTCATCTAAGATTGCCCTGTATTTGGCTCCATCCATCTTCCCATCAACTCTGACCACCTTCCTTGTCCCTGCTGAAGAAAAGCATCCCCACACATGATGCTGCTGATGATGGTGTGTTCATGGTGATGTGCAGTGTTTGTTTTCCACCACATATAGCGTTTTGCTTTTAGGCCAAAAAGTTAAATTTTGGTCTCATCTGACCAGAGCACCTTCTTCCACATGTTTACTGTGTCCCTCACATGACTTCTCGCAAGCTGCAAACGGGACTTCTCATGTCTTTCTTTCAACAATGGCTTTCTTCTTGACACACTCCCATAAAGGCCAGATTTGTGGAGTGCATGACTAATAGTTGTCCTGTGGACAGATTCTCCCACCTGAGCTGTGGATCTCTGAAGCTCCTCCAGAGTTACCTGTCCGTTTAGGTGGATGGTCATGTCTTGGTAGGTTTGCAGTTGTGCCATACTCTTCATTTTCATATGATGGATTGAACAGTGCTCTGTGAGATGTTCAAAGTTTGAGATTTTTTTATAACCTAACTCTGCTTTAAACTTCTCCACAACTTTATCCCTGACCTGTCTGGTGTGTTCCTTGGCCTTCATGATGCTGTTTGCTTACTAATGTCCTCTAACAAACCTCTGAGGGCTTCACAGAGCAGCTGTATTTATACTGAGATTAAATTACAAACAGGTGGACCTCTATTTACTAATTAGGTGCCTTCTGAAGGCAATTGGTTCCACTAGCTTTTAGTTAGGGGTATCAGAGTAAAGTGGGCTGAATACAAATGCACACTTACACTTGTAAAAAAGTTTTGAAAACCATTTATTATTTTCTTTACACTTCCCAATTATGTGCCACTTTGTGTTGGTCTATCACATAAAATCCCAATAAAATACATTTATGTTTCTGGCTGTAAGATGACAAAATGTGGAACATTTCAAGTGGTATGAATACTTTTTCAAGGCACTGTACAAATTATCAGAACCCACAAACCTTATATATATGTTTTATGCAGAGGCCCTAGGGAATAAAATGGTGGATGTTGCAAATTTTTATGTCACATGGTAATTAAGCATGAGATTAAAAAATAAACCCATTGATCTCTGCTTTCCAGAAAAAAAAATGGCAGTGTGTACATCTGCCAGAACCAGAAGTGATATCATGGCATTGCTTCTGGCCTCCCAGGACCATAGAGATGACTGGGCACCATCCAGTCCACGGGCAGCACTATGGCAACCCAGTGGCACAGCCAGATTGAATACCGAGCTCTCCCATGTGATCCCGGAGAAGTGGTGAAGGGAGAAGGGTTGACATCCCCTTTCACTGCCTGTAAAAGCAATCTAGCGCATAAGATGGCTTTTTCAAAGCTGGGAATTGCTGGCTGAAAATAAAGATACCGGGATCATGCCTGTAGCTACAGGCATCATCCCCTGTATATCAGATGAAAGTCAAGGACGACCAGAAACATCCCCCTGTCAGAAAGTGGTTAAGCTGATGAAAAACATTTCTATCTGTTGGGAAGATTTCCATTTCCTTTACTTTGCTGTATTTGTTCCACAAAAATAATGAAATGTGCACATGCCAATTTTTTTAAAAAGGGAACATTTTAAAAGGAAATCATTTAACTTGTACCATTTGCAAGGATCATAGTGACATTGACAGGCTGCCATAGTTCAGTCTATGCCTGTACATTGGTAGTACCTGTGAAGTGTAAGTAGTGTTAAACACTTTGCCATGTCTGTTTTTTTTTTTTTGTTTTTTTTTTTTTTTAGACCAGCCCATTTTTATTTATCTTTTTTTAATATTTTCGTGTGAACCTTTAACAACTCAGTACTGCAAGGAAATACCATAATATCACTGGTGCATTCAGCTTCCTGCAATAGTGCTGATTGTCTTTTACCTAATGGAGGAACAGAATAAAAATCGTACTGTATTCCATCTGCAAGCTTACCTTGATTCAGCGCTTCAGCTGTCAGATGGCAGAAATCTGTTTCATCATTCGGTCCCCTATGTGAATGTACAGTCATCTAACCTTTTAATTTCACTTTTTTTTCTTTGCAGTGTTTGAGCTGCTGTTCTATGTGATTTACTCCTGGTAAAACCTGAATGTGCATTGTTACATTTTAGTTTTCTTATTTTTTTTTTTTTTTTTCTTCAAAGGCCTTCAGTCTCTGATGACGACCTTAAGAGATTATTTGCAAGCACTGGATGTTCAGTAAAAGCCTTTAAATTTTTCCAGTAAGTTTCTTTATTCCCTATACTTACAGCACGGTCACTGTGGAATTGTGGAACATGCCTTTAGCCCTTCATTTTAAGCATGAAAGTTAAAAAAACAAACATATATTTTGTGAAAGCAGACACCCTAGAGAATAAAATGTTCTTGGTTCCAATTTTTTTATGTCACACGATATTACCGCAAAGGTCTAGGAAGCTCACAATTTCGGTAAAAATCACACTAAAGTGAATTTTGGGCAAACAAACACAATAAATTACCCAAATTTTTGGTAAAATATAAAAGGCAAGGTTGCACCGAATGAATAGATACCCACTATGTCAAACTTTAAATTTGTGTGCGCCTGTGAAATGGTGACAAACTTAAGTACCCTATATTTTCTATAGGCGACACTTCAAAAGCCCCTACAGTCATCCTTTTAGTATTACAGAGGAGGTCTTGTGCTAGAATTATTGCTTTCACTCCGGCGTGCGTAGCAAAATGTAACATGTATCGCAAGCTACGTTTTCATGTGTAGGCACCCCCAGTGCATGTGTTTACATTCGTATGTATGTATATGTGGGGGGCTCAATTTTTTGGGGGAAAGGGGGGGGGGGCAATTATGTGCTTGGGTTTTGTAACGTTATTTTTTTGCAAAAAGCAAAGGTTTTTTTTGCTTAGCTTTTTTTTTTTTTTCTTCACATAGGGGACACAAGGTCCCTTATGTGATGCCTTGTAGGTGACAGGTTCTCTTTAATGAGACATGCAAAGTCTTCTTAATCATAAAGAGCTGTATAGACAGTTGTCATTTTTAATATTTGTTTGGATGCTATTCCAATAAAACTTTTGTAAATGGAAAAACACTGCGTAGAGGAAAATATCCTTTTCATTCTTTGTGCAAACATTTTTACATCCATTAGCTCCAGCTTTCCTTCTGTTTTGCTTCAGAAAGGCAAAGACAGTACTACATGATCAATTCATTTTTGTACTCTGATGCTGGCCAGAAATAGATACTGAAATTAGCCACATGTCCTGATTTGAACTGGCTTTTTCTGAGGTTTTTTTTTTTTTTTCTTCCTGACACCTATGTTCGCAGTAGTGGCAGTTTCCATAGACGCACATGGTTTCTGTCCATTCTGTGTTTTCTTCAGATTTATCGAAAATCATAAAGGAGGGGAGCTGGATCTAAAGCTGCCTATGTATATAAACCCATATATTTCATAAAAAAATAAGAATTTAACCATGGTGTTTGCTTTATTTTTAAAGGAAAGATCGAAAGATGGCCCTTATCCAACTTGGATCACTGGAAGAAGCTATACTGGCTCTAATTGAACTGCACAACCATGACTTGGGAGACAACCACCATTTGAGAGTTTCCTTCTCCAAGTCAATGATATAATTTCTGCGCCATTGTTTTCCCACTTATTTTCTTGAAAATACTGGACCATGGTTTTGGCTCAATCCCTCAGACAGAGACTGAAGATGCCAAGGCCAATTCAGCCTCATTTGTTATTCTGAAAAGAAAAAATCTCTCCTCATACACGAATTTGTCACATAGAATGACCAAGGCAGAAATATTCCACTGTACAGCAGTGAAACAAGCAGATTAGTTTTGAGTTTTATTCATTTTGTAAAAACACCCTGGTGTTCATTTCCTTTTTGTTCCAAAACATTACACAGCATTTTTCTGACAATCATCGAGGTTTCAAGTTGCTTTAACGTAAATCATATCATTTTTATTTGAAAATTTTTGTTTAAAAAAGTCTTTTTCTTATTTATAGCTGTACAGAGGTTAACGTTAAATGTGATTACTAGACTCCTATGCTCCTCTATCATATCATGTTATATTTGAATTTTTATTGCATTCAATTTGAATGTCCCTGATGTTACGGGATGGTTGACTGTTTATCAATTGCAAAATAACTGTGTCCACCCAGTTTTTTTTTTTTTTTCATTGACTTTCATTTTTTAAAATATTTTTAGATTATGCACTAATATTTACCTATCTCTGTAATGTTGTTTTTTTTTTTTTTCAGTTCTGCAAAACTGTAGACTTGTTAATTAACTTAAATGACTTGAAAATACAACTCATTACATTCAAGCATTATGAAATACAATATAATGGCTATTTGCCAGATGAGATCTGTTGTGTAAACAGTGATTTTGGAACAAAATGAAAAGGTTCACAATTTAAACTATGAGCTATTTTTTTCTGATCAAAAAAAAAAAAAAAAAAAGAAACGTTTACAGTCTTAACAATATGATTCAGGTCTCATTTGGTTTTTGCAGATTTTTAAGAAATTATTTTTGGTAATGTGTTAAAGACTTAAACCTCAAGGGTTTTTTGTACCACTATAATAACTGAAATCTATACATCAAAATTACTGTGTACTTATTTTACTTATGTGCCTTATGTGCTTATACAAATAGGCTAGATTTTTTCTGATGTATCTTCTGCAATCTTTATTGTGGGCTTGGTGAGAGAGTTTTTGTTCCCTATATTTCTAGATTTTATTTTTGTTTGCGTTTTTAATATATATGTTTGCTTTTTCTGTTGTGTCCGTCAAGGTTACGGTTCAGTAGTGAACAGCTAATAAGAATACAGAAAAAAATTATAAAGCCTGCAGATCGATAATCTATATACATGCTTTCTTCAGGGGGCTGGAAATATTGAAAGTATACAAGCTAGGCTTTTTTAAATGAGAAACTGGATGTTGAGCCTTTAAAAGAAAAAAAAAAAAAAGGCTTTGGATGTGCCCTCCTATTGTAAGCCTCAAACAAGTTGGCTTGTATTATTCCATGGCGAAAATACATGTTAATTTAGCAAAAATACCTGTGTGTGAACTATGCTATTGAAATTCAGAGTGCGAGAGAGTCAATATCTCTGGCTTTTGTTTTTCTTCTTGTACTGATTTAGAAAAAACAGAGGAAAGGAAACTAATCCGATACGTTCATTGTCTAATTCATATGGGCAACACAGACACTTTTTTTTTTTTTTTTTGTATTCGGGTTTTAGAAGTCCACCCTTTGTATACCTAGATTCCAGTACATGGTTGGCTTACACCCACGGAATGCACCTCAATGTGCACTTACAGCTGCAGGAAAATAGAAAACATGTTGATACATATATTTTTTTTTTTGTGTGGTGTTTTTATTTTTTTTTTTTGGGTCAGACTTTTAGCTGGCTTTAAAACACATGTGAATGTACCGGTATGTTAGTTTAATTACATTGTTTTATTTTAAATCTCATCTGTTGATTTTGAAATGCCAGTGAAAGCATTTCTTACTTTCTAGAATGATGGTCCAAAAATGGCTGGTTTGTTTGTTGTGTACCTGTTGAAAGATAGTAGCTTTTGGCCTGACTTCTTTCTTCCTATATATGTTCCATAGTCTGTAAACTGTTGCCTCACTCAGGATATCTTTAGTCTTTATTTTTTTTCTCCTGATGCATAACAAAATGCAAAAAATCTTGATATCCTATTCTCAAGAATGTCTTTTTACCGGCGCTGAATGTCAGTTGCTGCTATTGGCAAGAACATACAGTAGTAACAAAATGTAATATAGCAGAGTCAAGTTGAGGTCTTAGCTGGTCTAAGTACATTGTGTGGTGTTATACAAATTCTCATCCCTTTCATTGTTTAAATTATATATAAATATATATAGAATTCAAATTCACTATTTCTTTTTTTTTTTTTTTAATAGTATTCTTATAATAACACAAGATATCTTAAGGAACTTCAGTATAATGGAACAGTGTTTTCTCGAAATAACACATAATTTGAAGTACCTCTTACTAAATTTATAATGTGTGTTTAATCTATTCAGGGGCTGTTGGTTTTTATGACCATGCTAGCCTGTGTTAATTTAAATCCCTACTCAGGTAATTCTCATGAGCAAAAATTTATTGTCCTAATTTTAAGTGACAGCATATTAAAATTAAGCAACTGTTGATTTGTAACCTATTTAAGAAAAAAGTATATAAGTATATATTTTTTTTTTTTTCAAATTGAAATAAGCGTTATTGACCACACATGCATTTTTGTCTTAATAAAATTATTTAAATAATGTTGTCATTGTGTATGTGGAAGGGTGTGTCTGCCATCACCACTGGTGGTGTGTTTGTGTAATCATTGGATGCATATAGAATATTGCAATAAAACATAGCGATGTGTCTGCTGGAACACCTGATTCCCCTTTTATATTTATAGGCAATAATGTTTTGGTACAACAGAACATCTTCCAGTACCAGTGAATAACGTAGGCCTTGTAGTCTGCCTTAGCTGTGTTCTTGTACGAGTTAATAAATTGCAATTCTAAGATGCTCTGTAGCTTGATAAAAATGACACAATGAAGCAATCGCTGTTTCTACCTTCTGTTCTATGATGGTTGAAACATTAAAATGGATATGTTGATTACCCTTCTTGCGTATGAAAATGGATATGTTTATCACCCTAAACTACTGTTCTCAAAGCTTATAGTCTTCCTTTTAGAACAATATTCAGTAGTGGAGAAATTTTCTCAAGTACATCTTGTGTGCTAATGCCTTTCAGATGTGGATTGAAGATATAAGATCACACCTTGCAATATTCTTTCAGGTTGTGACATCTCCATTTCTAGATTTCAGTTGCCATCTTCACATCTGAGATAGAGCATTGTGGCAGCAAAAATCTGATTGATTAGTTTGTTAATTTGCACTTCTGCCTAAAATCTATATCGAGCATCTTACCAGATACCATACAGCGTTACACCCAGTGTATAAATACTGATAGTTTGTATCTGGAATTCAGAACCTGATACATAGTCTATGTCACTGACTTTGTCCACAGTTGCTTTTTGAACAGATATGCCATGTACTCACAGGCTATTCTAATAATTAATTTCATGGATTGGCACCTTGGCTTGCAGCTTGATGTGCACAGTTGGCTTCCTATGAACTCAGTGTTTTAAAATGGTGAAGGAGGCAGCTGTAGCTCTCTTGATTGCAGGCACTCTCACATTGGCAGGCCTCAATATGCTGTCACTTGCAAACATATTCGTTTTGTAAAGCCAACAGAAAGTGAAAATAGTGTGACTATGCCCATCAATGATATATTAGACAGGGACAAAAATGTTTTATGTACTGCATGATATTAGATGAAGAAAACATTTTGTGGTTAACTGTTGTATCAGCAAGCATGTCTTTTTTGTTTTTTTTGCTTTGTGTACCATTGAGATTACTAGCTTGAAGGGTTATTTGTGGGGAGAGAACTGTTAACTCCATTAAATATGTTTTTTAGGTTATGTGTGCAATATATATAGTTTTTTGCTGTTTGATAGTGTAGAGCCATAGGTGGCTGTGTTTTATCCTTAAGAGAAAGTTGGCTCCATTCTTTTTGCTTGTCATAAAATAGTCCCAAGCTTAAAAACCTATATATACAGTGACTTCTTTTAAGCTACTTTTGCAATTTTATAGCAACATGCTCCTATTTAGAAAATAAACCCAAAATGTATCTTACATTAAATGCTGGTCACATTTTTTGCCATGACTGATAGATCAAGAAGCATTTACCCCTTATGCATTGATACCCTTCACAAAGCTTTGACTGAGACAACACAGCTCAGAATACTACAGGTTTATATTCAATTAACAATTTTTGCTTGCTATTTGCTGGTATGGTATAAAATAAAGCGTTTTGGACATATTTCTTTCTGGATCACAGGAGTGCACTTACTTGTGACCCAGAATCAGCCAGCAGCAGGATAAAGTCCGCTGTCAGCTGACGTCACAGAGGCGGTCAAGCACCAGAAGGATCCTGGCAATAATATCAAGATCCACCCAGATGCCTGACCGACAGTTGGCTCAACCTCTCAGTGTGCCACTGAAAGCCTGAACCAGCAGCTCCTGCCCCTCCATAGCCCAGCTCTCCAGTGAGGGACAGAGCAGTGACTGACAGTCACTGCTCTCTGCTCAGAGTGGATAGAGAACTGAGCGATTCAATCAATTTCTTTTCTGCCATACTTTTGTTTTTGTACTCTTAAGCTATTAGATATAAAAGGATGATTTTGAAGGAAAAAAAATGTTGAATTTGAATGCAGTTGAGTGTAGTGTAAAAAAAAAAAGCCTTCTTGACTATGAATGTTATGTGCATATAAGCATCGGAATTCACATGAACCCACAATGTTGTCTCAAAAGTGTCCTATAGACACTTGCTAAATAGTTTGGTAAAAAATAAATACATATGTTTTCCTACAGTTCTGGGATCGATGTCCCTTCTTGTTGGGGTGTGTGTATATGTGTGTGTGTGTGTGTATGTATATGTATGTATATGTATGTATATATATATATATATATAATGCACACACACACGGTTAGCATTTGTAGTGCTACTTGGTGCACTGGCAAATGTAACATTCATGATC